AAAATAACTTCTGCAGTACTTTGGCTGGAGATCAGCAAAGGTTTTGGGCTGGGCCTTAGCGCCCAGGTCCACTGATAGCTAAGACCATTAGGGCTTCATCCTAACACAGGAGCAGCATCGATCATCCTCTCCCTCAACCTAGGCTCCTCCACCTGCTTCCCACAGGCCTGGTGTCTTTTCATTCATAGTCCCTTTACCTAGAAGCTGACCGAGTGTTAGCAGAGACCATCTCCTACCCTCCTCAGGGCTTTAGGAGCGAGAACTATCGATTCCAGAGATGGCAGATCCCTCAGAGTCAACTCCAGCCCATAAGAGCTACGCTTTATAGCAACTGCAGAGAGATTTTCCAAAAGCCACTTACTTGGGTTACATAGTCGCAGTTTCACTCTTTAAGTAGAGGACGGCTCCAGGACCAAACACCCGGCAGGCGTTTGAGCCCTGGGTAAACCAGACACTGGACAATAGGGCCACAAACTCAGAAGCCAAGGTTGATAAAGCATAAAGCAGGATGGAGAGTGCCCTGGAAGGTCGTTCCCTCCTCACCGTGGTTGGTGAGAAGGTCAGAGAGCCTCTGGGCTGAGCCAGTCTTTAGAAGGCCAGGCCCTTCCCTGCACCAGGGCCTATTTCTCAGCCTTGAGCACTAGAAATAGCAAGCATTTTGTCTCAAAACCCAAACAAAATAGCCTGTGTGTGAAGGTTCATGCAATTAACAATTCAATTAATTTTATTTAAGTGAAAATGCTTCCTAAAAAAGCTTGTTGTTCTTCCTGAGCTGAGCTATTTCACCAAGAGCCACAGTCCCAGGCATATGGACCATGTCACGCCTCCCTGGGCCTCTGAGTCTACTCCTGGACTTTCCCTCCACCTGGAGCGTCACAGAGCCCCAGATGTGTTTACCGGGTGCTCCAGCTCATCCTTTGAGGGCAACTGAGCCCTCGAGTCCTCCCCAGGATTGCTCGGCCTCTTCGTAGTGTCAGGCTGTTCCTCTTTGATGGGGCTTTGGCAGCTGACCTGCCTTCTAGTTCAGCAGTTTCAAACAGGGGCCATTTCCCCCCCAGAACAGGACACTTGACAATGTCAGGGGACACTCTTTGTTGTCACAGTGAGAAAAAAAAAAACAGTATTATGGTAGCCAGTGGTAGGACAGGGAAGCTGCTGACATCCTAAAAAGCCCAACGGCTCTGGAGGCTGAGGCAGGAGGATCGCCAGTTCAAAGCCAGCCTCAGCAAAAGCAAGGTGCTAAGCAACTCAGTGAGGCCCTGTCTCTAAATAAAACACAAAATAGGGCTGGAGGTGTGGCTCAGTGGTTGAGTGCCTTTGAGTTCAATCCCCAGTGCCCCTACCCCTCCAGAAAGCCCAGAAGAGCCCCCATGGCTTTCGATTACAATCATCCCTTCAGGTCCAGGGAGAATTGGTGCTGGGACATCTAAGGATGCTCAAGTCCCTTATATAAGTTGGCACAGTACTTGTATATAACCCATGTGCATTCTCCCATGTGCTTTTAGTCATCTCTGGATTACTTACAATATCTAATACGATGCAAATGCTGGGTAAGTAGTTGTTATAAGGTGCTGTTTGGGGGAATAACAACAAAAGAAGAAGTCTGTACATGTTCAGTTACAGACACATTTAGAAAAATATTTTCCATCCACAGTTGGTTGAATCTACAGATGCAGAAACGTGGATGCATTCAGCTCCAAATGTCAGTAGCACAGAAGGTGACAAGCCTTGTGCGGCCTGATGTTGACCATGTGACCGTGACTATTTGTGTACCATCAAGTTTCTACTCACTCAGGCAGAAACTTCATTCATTTGGTGATTATATTCTCAGTGCAGCGCATGGTGTGAAATCACATTGTTAAGATAGTAAATGTACTGAAACAGCTGCTCTCCAATTGCTTGTCTGTGGTGCGGGCACACACACTCCTACTGGTGACTAGGAGGGTGTTTTGAATCTCTTCATAGTCTTCTGACAATTTTTCAGTGTTTCAGGGGTGTTAGACTTTGCCACATAAGTTCTAGTAATCCTGTCTTCATTAAAACTTGTGCTTAAGGGCTGGGGATGTGGCTCAAGTGGTAGCGCGCTCGCCTAGCATGCGTGAGGCACTGGGTTCGATTCTCAGCACCACATAAAAATGAAATAAAGATATTGTGTCCACCTAAAACTAAAAACAAAAACAAAAACTTGTGCTTAAGGGGGTAGGAAGGATAGCAGAATGAATCATTATTACCCTATGTGTGCATATGATTACACAACCAGTGAAACTCTACATCATGTACACCCAGAAGAATGAGAAGTTATACTTCATTTATGTATGATGCATTGAAATGCATTCTACTGTAATGTATAACTAATTAGAACAAATTTAAAAAAACAACAACTTGTGCTCAAAAATGTTAACAGCCATCTATTGAGTACTGACCGTAGAAACACGCACTATTCTAAGCATTTTATGGCCTGAATGTAATTCTCCTTATCAAATGGATAAGATTATTGTCCTCATTTTACATATGAGGAAACTGAAGCATGAAGAAGTTAGATAAATGAGCTCAAGGTTACTCTGCTAATAAATAGCAGAAAAGTCCAAGTTCACGATCCCAAACTGCCTGTCATAAGCAGCTTAGGTTCTTTCTCAGATTATTCATCAAAATAAACTCTAGGTCATGATTAAAGACCCGATCACTATTTTTTTTTTTAAATGAAACTTTGCAACCTTAGACCAAATATAGGAAAATGTCTTTTCAACCTCAGGATAGGGAAAGATTTCTTAAATGAGATTTGAGGAGCACAAATTAGGAAGGAGAAAGTCAGTAATTTTGACTACACAAAAGTAAAAACACCCGAGGGACCCAAAACATCATAAACAAAACTAAAAGACACATGTTACACTGGGAGCAGATATTTGAAGCATAAACAAAAAAGATAAGGGCTTAATATGAAGAATACATAAAAGTTAAGACAAATCAAAATGTAAAAGGCCGACAATAGGCAAAGGGGAGGTGGAGGAAGGAAAGGGGAAAGTACATGTCCAACAACCAAGTGCAAAACTCTCCGGTTCACTAGCCAAGGAAATAGAGGTAAAATGACCTCGGTACAACCCTTCCAAGATGTCACATTGGCCAAAAGCAGAATGTCCCCCAATCCCCAATGTTGGCAGGACTTGGAAAACCAGGAACTTTCGCGCAGTGCTGGTGGACATGTGAATGGAGAGCTGGGCAGTGATGGGTTAGGGTCAAAACTGTGCACAGCCTGATCACGACTACAAACGCTGTTTGCTGATGCTGTAGGTAGGAGGCAGCCAATGAGGGAGTTGCTGCCTAGGCCCACGATGGGCTCCTGGGGCTCCCTGGTGCATGTCTCTCTGCACGTCCCTGCCTTCCTCCGTGGTGAGGGTCTGTACCCACATGCTCACCATCCAGTCTCAGCACCTCTGGGCCACTTCCTGAAAGCACCAACCTCAGTCTCACCACAAGGGCCAGTGTAGGCAGAAGTGGCTACTGGGCAGACCCAGTGCCAAGTCCAAACAGGGCAGAGGAGGCAAGTGTACGGGGCTCACTCTCCTCCTTCCCTGGCACTGTTGGCACTGGAGAGCTGGAGCTCTGCATCTAAAGACCACTCCAGGAGGGCAGTGGCCGCTGGATCTGGAGCTGTCACCCTGGCTGTCTTCATTTCTTGATCAAGTGGGCAACAAGTCACCTAAATAGTGCCTTAATTCATCTGGCTTCCCAGAGTCGTGGCGGCTGAATCATTCTAGCAGTGAGGGCATCCACAGATCCTAGATCAGACACTGGAAAGGACCTGGATGGCAGTTCTTTTCTTTTCTTCTTTTTCTTTTTTGTACTGGGGATTGAACTCGGGATACTCGACCACTGAGCCACATCCCTAGCCTTATTTTGTATTTTATTTAGAGATAGGGTTTCACCGAGTTGCTTAGCACCTCACCATTGCTGAGGCTGGCTTTGAACTCATGATCCTCCTGCCTCAGCCTCCCAAGCTGCTGGGGAGGGCGTTTTCCTGCATGAAGTGCATGGCAGCATGCCACTTGGCAGTCCGTCAGAGGATTTCTTCTTTGACTGGTTGCTGTCCTATACCTATACCTACAAAAATTTCACTTGTGTTTGAAAGACATCATCCAGGGACCCCATGTAAGGTGTCTTCCGGTTCTGTTGCTTTATTTGGTTAGACAGAGAACATGGCTTTTGGGCAACACTCACTCACCTCCCCCATAGAAATGCCCACCCTGAGATGAGGCTTGAGGTGACATACTAGCTTTTGCTTGGGCTTCCAGTGAAGGACGGGCTTTTAGAGAGCACCCTGGCATTTCCTATGAGGCTGGAGCTGGAGATATTGTCTGCTAAGCTACTCAGCATTAGGATTTAGATTTCCCTTAAAATTTAACCCTGGGAAAATATTTATTTCTCTTGAAACTTCTACATGCTTTCTCTGGGATTTAAGAGCTTAGAGGCAACATAGATGGTCTGAAAAATATGTTTTGGGGGCCCAGTGACCTTTCATGACTCAATCCCTTGCTGAGTAAATTTGGGCAGTGTGGGTCCCTGTCTCTACCCCAGTGACCTCATCTCGAAATGGACACAATTTTTCCTTGGGATATTTTGATGGAGTGTATCAAATGTACTATAAATGGTAAAAGTGGCAGTAGTTATCAGAAAATCTATTACAATGTCTCAATGAGGTGACTATTTTAATCTAGCTTTTTAGTAGGATGTTCTTTTTCTTCTAATGATTTCTGATTGCGCTCTAGAGTTATAATTCGTCTATCCCATTCTGTAAGTGTTTGAATATTCTGGACTGCTTCAACTCTTCTTTGGGAGACAGATGGAATAAATAAAGTAGAGCAACTGACTTGTACCATTCTTACTTCCTCATCACCAGCTCCCTGGTTCTCATTTGGTATGACCCACTGGCTGGCTGTGTCCTTGGGTCAGTCACTGTTGGCCACCCTGTTGATTGTTAACAGCTGGGCTGTTGCATGGTGTGGTTGTGTTCTTTCCTCTTAACCTGGGTATTGCCAAATTCAGGAACTAGACAGAGTTCTGTACTTGCTAAGGCTGGCAGCAAAAAGACCAGCTGAAGAATGCCGTGGCTCGGTGGGCCTGGGTCAGACTTCACCTGCCCCAGGGAGAGAGAAGCAGCCACCTGATCCATGAAGGGCAGAAGTGAGGTGAGCCAACGAGTGAGTCCGAGGCCTGGTTCCTATTCCAAAGGACGCCATGATTTGCTTGAGACTCCTCTCTTTGTGAAGGAGGACAGAGTCCTCCTTCATGCCCCTGTCCCCTGTGCACACCACAGCCATCTCTCTTCTCTCCTTTGCAAGTTGTCGTCTTGTGGCTGTGAGCACCAACTTTCCCTGGCAGCTGCTAGGAGCAGATGTTCTTCCCAGTTGGAGTCAGGAGTGGGAACCTGGAGCAGCAGTGCCTACCCTCAGATTGTTCACCTTTTCCTCTGGGACTCTCCTGACCTTCGTGTGTGTGTGTGTGTGTGTGTGTGTGTGTGTGTGTGTGTGTGTGTGGTGTGGGGGGGAGCAGGCTGCCACCCTCAGGGGAATTTGTTTTGCATGTAGCTGTTGAACTTTGATTCGGTGACTCATGCTGAGATGCAAACTTCTTTTCGAGTCCTCCTCCCTCCTCCCACATCTGATTGCTTTTTTTCCGTTCCTTTTTTTTGAACTCAAAGCTGAACCACCTTTGCAGGGGAACGTGGCTTCTTGCACAGGAAGTGCAGCATTGGCATACAGTAGCTTCTCGCGGTAGTGTGGACCAGGCCTGCTGCCCTCCTCTGACTCCAGGGACCTCTGGGGGAGCTGGGTCCCTTACTGGCTGGAGAGCATCAGCGTGAAGGCTACAGGCAGCTGAGAACCGGAGGGACACACCCTGCTGGTAAGTGCAAGTGCCCGGGCCATCAGTCAACGTGGCAGGCCCTGTGCAGACTTCAGCCAAGTGCGCAGGAGGAGAGAGTCCAGAATCTCAGGGCAAGAGGAGGGCTGGTTGGAGAGCAGAACTTGGGTGAATATTTTCCTGAACAATATGACTTCTCACACCTGAAATTATTTTAAGTGCTCAAAAAAACAAGGTAAGCATCTTTAATTTCCTTTAGGCACAAGTTTTGCTCAATTTTAGCAAAGATTTTTATGGGGGAATGATTAAGCTTCATAGTTAAGTAGACTGTTTGCAGGTGTTTTAACAAAGCCCTCGGTGTGTGTGTGGGGGTGCTAATGGGGATTGAACCTAGGTGTGCTTACCACTGAGCATTATCCATAGTCCTGTTTTTTAAATTTTGAGCCAGGGTTTCTCTAACTTGATGAGGCTGGCCTCAAACTTAAGATCCTCCCGCATCAGTCTTCCAGGTCTCTGGAATTACAGGCATTTCCCACTGTACCCAGCAAGCCCTGTTTACAGATATGTTAATGTTATGAAATCAGAAGGAGTGGAATTCTTTTTACCCTGTCTCCATGCTCATGAAAGCATCGACTGTCTAGAACTTGGTTCATAGGCCTCTTGTTTTCTGGGAGAAGGTAGTTCAGCTTTTCTGGGAGAAAACTAGATCCAGAAGTTTTGGCAGCAGCCCCAAACACTATTCTTCTAGAGGAGGGCTCTGTGGGTGTCAAGCAAGCTACTGAGAAAATTGAACTAAGTCTTAATTTGATTGAGGTGAAGATATTAGAAATCTCAGCTGAGCTACTAGAAATCTCAGCTTTGCCCCCATCCCCTGCAATTATGGACTTTTCTTGACTGCCATGTGACTAGGTCAGGATGCAGAATGCAGGAGAGGTGCTCTGGGATGTGGATCAAGGTTGTAAATACCTGTGTGTATGCCCCTCCACAACCTACAGCCACACAGGGGAGCAGGGGACTGGCTCTGAGGGGAAAATGAAAGGCCAGGCAGCACACCCCCATTCTCCACAGCAGCCAAGAGGTGAACACAACCCAAGTGCCCATCGGTGGATGAATGATTGATATAATGTGTGCTGTACAGACCCAGCGGATTATTATTCAGCCTCGGAAAGAAAGGACATTCTGACATTTGCTCCAGCATGAATGAACCTCAAAGAAACTACACTAAGTGAAATAAACCAAGAACAAGCGCTTTCTAATTGCACTGGTGGGACCTAAAGGGGCTGTGCTCATTGAGATAGTCCAGCAGTGGTCACTAGCCCTGGTGGGCAGCCGGAGCCAGGAGTTTAATGGGTCTGGAGTTTTGGTTTTGCTGGTTGTATTTTTTGATAAATGCCATTCTGACTGGCATGAGGTGAAATCTGAGAGTAGTTTTGATTTGCATTTCTCGAATTACTGGAGATGTTGAACATTTTTTCATATATTTGTTAATCAATTGTATATCTTCTTCTGAGAAGTGTCTGTTCAGCTCCTTAGCCCATTTATTAATTGGGTTTTTTTTTGGGGGGAGGGGATGTTAAGTTTTTTGAGTTCTTTATATGTCCTGGAGATTAGAGCTCTATGTGGCGTGTATGTGGCAAAAATTTGCTCCCAAAATGTAGGCTCTCTCTTCACCTCATTGATTGTTTCTTTTGCCAAGGAGAAGCTTTTTAGTTTGAGTCCATCCCATTTATTGATTCTTGATTATATTTCTTGGTTTTGCAAGGTGAAGAGTTCTGGGGATGGTGGTGAGTTGTCCAACTAGTTGTACTTAATGCTACAGATCTCATACATTTAAAATTATTAGAGTGGTAAACTTTATGTTTGGCTATATTTTATCACAATTTTTGAAAATTTTAAAAATTACAAAAAAAAAAAAAACAACCCAAAAAACAAACAAAAAAAAAACAGTCAAACCACCAGTCCTTTGGGCTGCAATCCTTGCCTGACTGTGACTTCCTCAAAATTGAACTGACAACTCCAATGAGAGCCAGAAGATCTGAGCTGAACCCCCAAACTTCTGCCTGGACTCTGCAGAGAAACTGGGAACACGCCGACTTGGAGGACTTCCAGCGGACCTAAGGTCATGGATTTAGCGCTGGCAGAGGCCACCCAGAACGGCGCTACGGCCTGAGGCGGCCGCTGGGGGGCGCCCTCCGACCTGGGCGTCAATCCTCACGGCCGGGTCTTTCCCATTGGCCAGCTGTGGGTCCCAGCTGTCAGCAAAGCCTGTCTTTTCCTGTTTCCTCAATTGCTTTCTGAGGAATGAGGTAGCACATTCGGCTTCCCAGGGAGGGTGCGATTTCCTCTTGCAATACAGACGGCGGCGTGCACGTGGGCGCTGCTGGTTCTCTGCTTTCCTTTCCCTCTTTCTTCCTCTTTCACTCGTCAGCGCCCCAGACCTTTGGCCCAAGGTCCCCAACCTAGGTCAGCTGATTCTAGAAGAAACAGATCTGACCTGGCTACCTTGTTCCACCTGCGAAATCTGCCCCACTTCCCTTGGCTGTCCTGATAGGTGGCTCTGACTCTGGGCTCCACACCGAGTCCAGGGTGCGGTCGCCTTGACTGACCATAAGGAAGAAAGCCGTGGGATGCTGACCGCTGGGCCAGCTCATGAGGCAACCTTGAAGATTTTGTTACTAATCTGCTGTTTGTGACTTCCAGTCAAGATTGAGGAAGGAAACGGAGATAAAGTTCTTCAGACTTTCAGATCTTAAAAATAGAAAGACCCAGCAAGCAGCTGGGGGATGGGAGCTCATGGACCACTGCATCCAAGGGGAAATTGTCACCCAAAGGCCCAGGGAAGCTCCTGAGAACAACCCCTGACCCTGGTTACTCCCTTATTAGAAGAAATTCGTTGTAAAAGGAAAGGAAGTTGATTTTAAAGTTCCAGGGTTGGGATGGGGGTAGGGAGGACTCTCCGAAGTAGGTGAATTCTTTGTGTTAATTTTGTGTGAAAACAGCTGTCTGGTCCCATGCATAATCTTTTTGACAATCCTCAGAAAAGGAGCCCTGGGTGGTAACTTCTGGGCTTCGTGGAAAACTTCAGCTGTGAACAAGGACCTGGTGTGGTCACTCTGCCTGCCTGCCCAGGTCAAAGACCACGTCTTTTCATTTTAGAATTGTTCATGTTTTTGTCACATCTGAATGAAAGATTATAAAATAAACAAATTCTACTCATATCTGTTCCTTTGTGATCAAAGAAAAGTCACCTGAACAGTTGTATTCTTTTTTTTTTTTTTTGGTACGAGGGATTGAACTCAGGGGCACTTGAACACTAAGCCACATCCCCAGCCCTGTTTTGTATTTTATTTAGAGACAGGTTCTTACTGAGTGGCTTAGTGCCTCACTTTTGCTGAGGCTGGCTTTGAACTCACTCTCCTCCTTCCTCAGCCTCTCGAGCCGCTAGAATTACAGGTGTGCGCCACCACGCCCAGCTGAACAGTTGTATTCTTGCTTTCCATTTTTGCAATGAGATGCCACCTTCATCCTGAGTGCTATTCAAACTGACAAGCTATTTTGGAGACATACTGATTGTCAGGCTCTGAGATTTATTAGCTATAGAACCATCATTCCGTTCCAACCTGAGCCTCTGTTTCCTCATCTGGGTAAGGAGAATACCTGTATCTATGCTGCCTTCCCACAGGAGTGGGCTTAGCTTGGTGGAGGGACCCATGTTCCAGGTGGGAGAAGGAACCTGAATAAAGGCCTTTTGGGTCACTGCGTGACCCCTGGTGTGAAGCTGGACTGTCAGTTTGTTATAAAAATCTTCTTCCTGCCTGGAGTTTGGTCCAAAGCTAGACCCCAGCCAGAGGGAACAATGGTCTGGAGAGAAGTGGTCACTAGTCACAGAGAGACACAAGGCTCGACCAGAGACAAGAGATAGGAGGTAGATGAAACCCGATTGCAAGGGCATGACTCCCATGCAGAAGAGCTTTGGCCTTTACTCTGCACAGGATGGAGGGACGTGGAAGTGTTTGAGCCGTGGACTGTCTGGGTGGGGTGCAGTGAGTGGTGAAGTGTGGGGTGCTGGAACACCATCGGAGGCTTCCCAGGAGTCCCCAGAGTGATGGTGCAGCCCTTCCTTTGTTACCCAGTTCTGTGAGGGGCCTGTCCTTGCCTTCAATGGAAGATGAGTCATTTCTCACTTGTATTTTGAATGCACATTTTTTTTAATTAAAAGAATTGCCCTTATCTTCACAATTTCTTGTTTACATTTTTGGGTTCTGTTTTTCCTGAGTAGACTGTGAACAAGTTGAAACTGGATTGTGTCTTGTTTTGTTTTTATGGAGCTGGGCCCTGGCACAGTGCTGGTGCAGAGTAAGCGATCAATCAAGATTTGTTCCAGGAAGAAGTGAGTGGACCGGGGCGGTGGCAGAATGAGCACCGAGGGAGGTTAGTTATGGGAAATGCCCAGAAATAGGTAACGATCCATCAGATGTAGATGTGAGGGAGAGAGAGGAGTCACAGGACTTCCAGATGTTTTCTTTGGGCCTCTGGGGGATGCTGTTCAATCAGATTGGGAACCCAAGGAGAAAAATTTATTTGAGGAGAGAATATATATTTTGGTGATTTATTAAAGAAATATCTAATAAACCCCTTAAATACACAAGGCACCATGCCAGGTACTGGGGACTGAGAGATGAGTAGGTCAGAATACTGAATCCTTCAGTCTCTTGGGAAACATATACATGATGATTTGATGTGTGATAGCAAAGGTCATGGGCTGTGGTAGATGAGATGACCAGGGTCACAATCACACGCCCTTTCCAAGTGATGTGTGAGCTGAATCTTGATGTTTGCGAAGCCCAAAAGAGTATGTGCATGAGAACATTCTGGAATACTTAGGAAGCAGGGATAAATTCAGTGTGTCTCTAGAGAAAGGGCCAGGTGGGCCATTGGTGACTGTGACTTAGTCAGGGTCAGAGCATACGGGATGCAGCTGCTCAGCCTGCTTAGGAATTTGGCATCTATGTTGTAGTCATCAAGGGCCCAGGGTGGGGAGGACAACCGTGGGCAGGGGCTGCTGTGGCCAGTTTTGTGTTAGAAATGCTGGCTCCAAGCCAGCCACAGGCAGATGGGTGAGGAAGGAACCAAGGAGACTGCAGAGTAGTGGGGGGGGGGCAGGTGAGCTACGGGAGGTGGGCCTGAGACCTCCTGACTGAAGGGGGGACATACTGGGCTTCCTTGCCTGGGACTGAGGAGGAGAGCCACCCGTCTCCAGGCTCCCTACATGGAACCACATATGTGGAAATATCTTAGGAACAGTCTGGATTTAAGAAGAAACTTTTATTTTCAGAACCCCAAGAGCTTTTCCTTATGAAGATTATATCTGTCTACTTTATTAGAAACTAATTTTTTAAATTCATCTACTTTTAAATAGCAATAAATCGATTATATTAAATGACATGCTTTTATGAGAAATAACTCTATTTCCAAAAAGATAAAAATTAGTAAGAAGAGTGGCATTGACTTATTTTTTGTAAGTTTCTTTAATATCTGTCTTAATAGATGAGAGCTGGATTCTCATATCTGCTTCTTTATTTAAACTGCTGCAATATCCACAGCATGTAGTCTCTGGAATATTCCATTGTATACTCTTGAGAGGTTGAGAATGAAGTAAACAAATTATGTCTTAGCATTATTATGAAAGTAGTTTTGACCTCGCAGACTCCCTGAAAATGGCTTGGGGTCTCCCAAGTTTCCCTGGAGTTCATTTTGAGAAAAAGTAAAGTAGACACTTAACAAATATCTGTTGATCGACAGCGTTCTGAGTTCTGTTGCATTTTGCTTAAACCGCATGCCTGGCATGTACTGCATGGATTTATAACTGTGTGTGTGCCTGGTGCTCCATAAGAGGTGGGAGCCAGATGTGAAGCTGTGGGACCCATGGGAATATAGGGACGGGTGGAGGGCCTGGGCAGGACCCCAACACTGATGGAGGGAGGAGAGAAAGAGCTGGAAACATACAGGAGGAGAGGCAGGCCAAGTTATGCAACCTGGGGGAACAGAGAGTTTCAAGTTGGGGACAGCTCATAATTTTAAAAATTTAAAATGACAATTTGGAGAGTGAGTGAGTCCACGGTGTCAAAAGTGGCAGGGAGGTCGTAGGCAAGGATTGTGAAGATTCGGATGGATTTTCAGTTAGAAGGAACTGGTGACCTTGAGGGGGAGATTTAGTGTTCCAGTTGGGAGGCCCGTTGTCAGTGGCCGAGGTGGGATTTCGGAAGCAGGCAGGTGGGGGCTGCAGTGGAGGCCTCTCTGCCCAGAAAGTTGGCTGTGAAATGCCCTTCCCCCGCGGAATCCTGACATTGTTAGCCGTGCTCTGATTCCTGCACTACAGGGAGAGTTGAGGTGGGAACCTACCACAGAGGCATGACTGCTGCAGATCAGAGATAGCATCTAAAGGCGAGGAGCTCGAAATGCCGAGAAGAGGATGGGGTGAAAAGAAGATGCACAAATATCTTCAGCGTGCAGGATTTGCTAACAGTGAAAAACCAAAGGCAATCTATGGTTTCCATGGTTTGATTTAGGGTTAAATGCTGGATAGCACATTCATTCATTCGTTAATCAACAACTATGCATTGGGATTCGGCTGTGCCAGGCATTGTTCTAGATGCTGGGCATACACAGTGTTCAGCAGAACAGGTAACTTGGCAGGGAAAGATTCCAAAAGGCATTTTTGATAAGAAAAGTACATTGCTTTTATATACAGTATGGTATCATTTCTGTACAAATCAAGCACAACAGTCCTAAAGCCGGCTTTGTTATCTGGTAACATGCAGAGCAGTGCAGAGAACGTGCTAGAGAGAGGGAGCAGATCATTGGCAGGAGAGGCACCACGGATGTGCTATGTGCATTGCTCTTTATACTTTGACATTGTTCAAATTGTTCACAGCAAATGTGTTTTCAAAGTTACGTCTGTATTTCTAAATGTTTTTTGAAAGGTGTAAGATGAAGGTCTTTGCGGTAGAAAAGAGAGACAGGCCCCGTTTGTCTGGAGTGTTCCTATTGGTTTAGTCATGTCCCTTCTGACAGCATCTCTGAGGCTACAGTCCCCCCTCCCATCATCCTCAGGGGTACCTGGAGGGGAAACCGTCAAATACCAGGTAGGACTTTCTATCTTCAAGCTTCAGTGTGGTCTGAATTAAAGTTGTGCCAAAGCACATGGTTGGATGGGAGCATTGTCTTTCGGGAGATAGAACTTTCCAGAGGGCATTTCTCCCTGTGTAAACCCAGGAGCCTGTGTTCATCTGCCTTAACAGAGCACCAGGGACTGGAGCAGGAACCTTGGAAATCCACTGTCCCAGATCCAGGTGATCTGAGGGCTGGTTCCTCCTGAGCCCTGACTCTTGGCTCACAGATGATTGCCTTTTTCCCTGAATCTTCATGTGGTCATCCTTCCATGTGTGTTTGTGTCCAAATTTCCTTTTGCAGGGACACAGTCATTGGAGGAGGCCTACCCTAACAACCTCATTTTAAAGGCTCAGTCTCCAAATACAGTCACGCTCTGAGGTATGGCGGGGTGAGGCTAAGGGCTTCAACATGGGAATTTGGGTGGAAACCATTCAACCTGTAACAAAGCCTCAGAAATATTTCCTTGGCCTGTCCCAACTTGTGGGTTCCCTGCTCAGCCCCTGTCACCCTGGAGTCAGGTTGTTGTTCCCTGCACAGGTGCGCTGGGGTGACAGCCACAGAGAATGCATAGTAGAAGCAGTGTGATTGTATCTGTGACTCCACAAACCACACTGAGCAACTGAAAATCCCCACGGGGGACTAGGCTTGACATGATTTCCTGACAGATAAGGTCAGAGGGAGGGAGCACATATGCAACTTACTCTCGGTCACCTGGCATCCTGGGTGCCAGACTGCCCGGAAACTGCCTGATGGGCACTTTTTCTCTTTAGCTCATGCCCGTGGGGCTCTGCCAGGAGGAAGCTGGGGGCAGGACCCACGCCAGGAGGTGGCTGGCACAGTATGGAGCGCCCGAGCAGGATGGAGTTCTTCCAGAAGTTGGGCTACAGCCGGGAGGATGTGTTCAGGGTGCTGGGCAAGCTGGGAGATGGTGCCCTGGTCAATGACGTGTTGCAGGAACTGATCCAGACGGGCAGCCGCCCTGGGGCCCAGGAGAGCCCTGCCAGCAGCACTGGGCCTCTGCTCGTTCCCCGGGGCTCCTGTGGAGTCCCAGACTCTGCCCAGGGGGGCTTGAGGTCAGCCCTAGAAGAGGACTGTGGAGACTTGGCCAGCTCCCTGCGTCCCATAGTGATCGACGGCAGCAACGTGGCAATGAGGTAGCTTTCCTGATTTCTTTCAACCTACGGTGGGAGGCAGGGTGAGGGACCTATTCTCAGGAGCCCTGAGAACCACCCCTTCTCTTTGGTTTGGTCCAAAGACTGTTGGAGCTAGTGGATTGGGCTTTGAATCTATTACATCTCCTGAGTAGCTGTGTGGCCTTAAGTATGTCACTGAATCTCTCTGAGCCTCACTTTCTCCCTCTGTAATGTTGGATTTCACCCTCTTTGGAGGATGTTGTGAGGATTGGAGCTGATGCAGAGTGAGTGTTCAAGTGGGTGATATTATTACACTCACCCAGAGGAGCTGCTTCTTCTGGGGAAGGTAGTGGGTAATGGGGAGGACTTGGGGTCAGGTGTTAACAGATGTGGCTTTTTCTCTGGACTCTGTCCCTAACTGGTTGCGTGACTCTGGGAAAGCAAAACTACTCAGTTCCTCTTCTGCAAAAGAGGTCAATAGACCTCCCTTCTGTCTCCCTGTGGGTTATGAGACTCAGATGGGAAGAAGCATTTGAATGGTGCTGGGAACCCTCTGCTGGGGGTTGCTGGGCGGTGAGGTTGCAGTCCCTTTGCTAAGTTTGACAGAAGTGTCTGTGGTCCTCCCCTCCCGCCTTATGCTGCGGAGAGGCAGTGTGCCCATTTGGGTCTTGGCATCTTCCTGTGTTTCAGGGGTGTGAGCATCATGCCCTATGTGGTTATGGTGCCAGCTTGACTGAACTCCACTGCCAGTCTGCAGCCTCCTGCACTTCGAGCTGGTGAGGAGGGGCATTGCCCAAACCAATGGATTATTCTACCACTTGGCTTAGTTACAGGCAGGCAAAGGGCAGAGTCATAGGAAATTGTTCACTCACAGCTGTACACACTTGCACTTCCTTTTGTAGAAGCTGAGTAGGAGCTTGGAAAAGCAGTTATCAGCGGCTCCAAAAGTGTCAGGCATCCCCAAGCTGTCCCTGGGGATTGGAGCTCACTTTGGACTTGGCATTGCAGGACACAAGTTTGAAATGGTTCACCCCACACAGCCCAGCCTCAGGGACTGTCCCTATACACCCTGCGTGGTGTGTACCAAATGTTTGTTCTGTTTTTAGACAGCTCCATCTCTCTGAGCTTGGTTATATTAGCAGGTGATTGAGTCCCCGCTGCCCTCTTGGATTTAGGAGCTGCTCCACCAGGTCACACTCATGTTCTAACTCATATCCCCAGCAAGCACCAAACAGGGGAGTTTATGAAATCCTGCTAAGTTTAAGATTTATGGATTGTTTAAGTAATTTTAGAATCCAGCAGCTACATCCCCCAACCCTGTTTTTAAAAATTTCTATTTTGAGACGGGGTCTCACTAAGTTGCCTAGGTTGACCTTGAACTTTTGATCCTCCTGCCTCAGCCTCCCAGGTAGCTGGGATTACAGGTGTGTGCCACCATGCCCTGCTAAGCGGGTTTTGGTTATAGGATGATATTACATAAATCAAAGATCTTCCCAACCAGAAGATTATTTGAGTCCACTGTTTCAAGTCGAAACAGCAGAATAGCTATAGGGAAAACAGATGACTTCAGAGGCCATAGGCATTCTCTCCTTGGGGGCTAGAGAAGAATTTTAGCGTTCTGATAGTGTGGCCATGGAGGGTTTTCTTTTGATGGGAGTCTCTGTTGTTGCCTAGAATTCAAACTTAAACTACAGCTTCTATTTGCACATGACCATGAAATGTCCTGGGTGAATCCATTTGTTCCCGTCACCTCCAGCTCCAGTCTCACACCTGTAATCAGTTTGCTCCTCTCTCGCTCAATCTTTGTGGGATATAAATGGAAACCATTACTCAGACATACTGCAAAGAATGTGTTAGAGCCTGGATGTTGTCACACACCTGGGGCCTAAAAAACACCTGATCAACCAATATGCCTTCTCTATATGGGTGCATGCACGTGCACACATACACACATTCACACGCATGAACACATGCACACGCTCGCACACACACGGGCTTACACACCCACAAACATCCCTTCCCCCTGCCCCTTGGGTCCCAATAGTTAGGAAAAAGAGAAATTGCACAATAACCACTTGTTCAGGGAACTGAATTTGTTCCCTTGAAACGCAAGTTCTGGGAGAGGGTGGGCCCAAGGTTGCACTCGGTTCCCTGCCCGTTCTCCCACTGTGATGTCTGTGTGTCCTGCATGGGGTTTCCCAGGAGCCAGGCCCACAGGCCACACATGGAGAGAGGAGCTCTGGCTTTTCTTTACCAACTGTGCAAATCCCTGACTTTCTTGGGTCCTGTTCACACAGTTACACGATTAAGAGCTGGATAATTAAGAGGTTGGCTTTTTTCATCTCTGATATGCTGAGATTCCAGGTGATTATTTTGTGTGGTAGAAAGATATAAGTGGAATTTCTTTTATAAAGGGACTTCTCTTTTTCTTCAGAGGTTTAGAGAGAGCGAATAACTTTCCCAAGGTCCCAGAGCAGTAAGTGCCAGCTCTGGATTTTGTGCTGTTTCCAAAGCCTCCCATCACATCCAATGGCTTTTTTCCCCGTCTGGCCAGAGGGTGGGAGATCCTGACCCTGGGCCTTTGTCCTGGGGCCAGAGCCTGCCTGTGCTGACCAGAGCCCTGCCCAAGCAGGATGAGCCCTGGACCTGGCAGCTGTAGATGGAGGCGTGAGGCCCCCCACTCCCCTCACCAGGGTCCTGCAGGGCTAGAACCTGGGATCTACTCCTGCTGCCACCAAGACTGGGGACCTGCAGGTGACGTGTGTGTTCATTGGTGACACTGATGGAATAGCATCCCAGAGACAATTCTCAAGTACAATTCCTGTACCTTCAAGGTGTGTGTGTGTGTGTGTGTGTGTATGTGTGTGTGTGTTTGACAGAAAGAGAGAGAGAGAGAGAATAACTGAGGACACAAGGCCTTAAGAAAAATCTGCAGCAACGTTTTAAAGAGGTGGCTTTCCTTGAAATCCTGTTAGAAGCTGCATCTTGGTATTTGGAAGAACACAGATTCTTGGTAGCCACGGGCGCAGCATTTCTTTGTGAGAGTTGGGAGTGGCAAACTCACAAGTGTCCAACCTGTTTACATCCTGTAGGCACATCAAGAAACAAGGGGGGATTGGGAGTGTGGAGTTTGGCGGGAAGCCACCTGGTAAACTTTACCTCCTCTTCCTGCCCCAGAGGAGGGTTCCATTTGAGCATGTCTTGTTTGGGGTGTATTGGACTTTTTGTTTTGGGTTGTTATTTAATTTTTAAACTTAGACCATCTGGGGGACTCTGGCTTCTGGAGGAAGGAATCATTCGGTGAAGAGAGTTCAGGCTGAAATCCCACCTGTCTTCCTCTGCTAACTTGAGCCTTGGGCTCCTACCTAAGTCTGCACCTAGTTCTCTTATGATGCGGGCAGCCCCTGCTCACCCTCTCTCTTTCCCCTGACTGGATCTGGCAGAGATCCACTGACTAAGGTTTGACATGCTGGTAATTTGACCTCAAATAAGAAACAGGAGTGAAACTGGTGGTGTCCTTTTACATCCCAAACCACTAATGGACCATTGTTCATCTCTTTCTTTCTTCCCTCCCCATAGGGCTGTTTGGTGACCTCTAAATTCCACATAGATACAGGGATACAGGGGTGTACAATTAGTTTCTGGAAATGACAACACCCTATCTGCAGCTGCCCCAGGCACAATTGTCGAGTAGAAATTTGCCTAAGGCGCCCACCCACTTCCCCTTTCCTCTTCCCCTAGGCCTCTCAGCAGGCTGCCTGAGAAGCTGGTTCCTGGTGCCTGCTCATAACCCCATGAAGGGCCCTGCCACCACCCCAGTAACATTTCGGGGGGTGGGTACTGGGGATTGAACTCAGGGGCACTCAACCACTGAGCCACATCCCCAGTCCTATTTTGTATTTTATTTAGAGACAGGGTCTCACTGAGTTGCTTAGGCCTTGCTTTTTTCTGAGGTTGGCTTTGAACTCACAGTCCTCCTGCCTCAGCCTCCTGAGCCGTTGGGGCTATAGGCGTGCGCCTGGCTCAGCAAGAGCATTTAAACCGCAGGCAACATTTTTGCTCCAAAAGAGCTGCCCTCTGGATCTTAGGGGTCTTGGGGCCAAGAGGGAATGAGTTTGCATTTGGAGGTCTGACACTTCAACAGAGAGCCGGGAACATTTCTTTGCTTCTGTTTCCTCAAGGGTAAAATGGAGGGTACAGGTCACTTCCTCAAAGGCTTGTAATAGTTAAATGAGATGAATGTGCCAAGTGACCTGGCAGACAGGCCGGCCACAGCCTTGTGTGGAAGATGTCCACGAATCCATGCAGAGGCTGTGAGGAAGCACAGAGGAATGGGAGCCTTTGGCTTCTGTGTTTCCCAGTGGATGCTGGACAGGGACCCCAGAGGGACTGTCCGTGCCTTTCAGCCTGACTGGGAGCTCTGCCAGGGCTTCTTTCCCTCCCTCTCCCTCACCACTGAATGTCCTCCCTGGCCCCCACTAATCATATACCCACAGAAAATGTCGGGAGTGAACGTTGGTTTTTGAGTGGTTCAAACAGATCTGTGAAGAGCCCTGGGAAAGAGATCAGTTAACAAATGGTTTTTAAAATAACTGCAGTAGTGACATTTTTACTTTGGAATGGACAGAATGGATTGGTGCAGTCAACAGATGCGTGTGCTGGGGTGGGTGGTCCATTGCCCACAGTACTGCCATGTGCACAGAAAATGCACCTCTTTTCCTGTGACAGACATAATCTCTTCCCCAGCTCTTCAGCAGGGGAAGGGCCAGCCTGACATTTTCCAGGGTCTGCAGATGTCTGTGTCTTGTCTTTCCCAAGACTCAGGCTCCGTGTTTCCCCTCCTTCCCTGTGCTCTTCTCCCAAATGGCCTCTGGGGGCTTTGAGACCTGGTGTTGGCAGGAAGAGGGGGTCTTGTCCCTCGGGGCTCTTCTGCGAGAGTGGCTGGGTGAGGGTGGGAGTATCATTGGTCCCATCCAGGCTCCCTGGGGGCCATGCTGACTTAAAATGCTCTCCTCCTGGTAGGCGCCTCCTGGTCCACCATAGGATTCTTCTAACCCACGAGGCCTGGGGCCTGCAGGGGACTTGGGTGTCACTGTGGGATCACCTATAGGCTACTTCCTTCCAAGGCCGCCCTGCCGACACGAGGCTTCTCTGGGGGGTTTGAAGCTGGAAAACACAGGAGGCTTCCTCCTCCTGTTCATGCCCACACTGATGTTTCCCCTTCTCTTCGGGCTCAGCGGGGAGGAGCAGGGTGGGGCGAGGGGCTGAGTGACCACGTGAATGACCTCTCATCCTCCCATCTTCCTCTGCCTTCTGCAGGGCAGGGGGGTCAGTGCTCCACCTCCTCTTCCTTTCCCCACACATATCCCATCAGCACTTTCTGTTTTCTGTTTGCACACACCTCCTAGGGCCTGCTCTTTGGCCAGAGGAGAGTCCCAGACCTGGCAGCGTGTGTGGCTTCTTCCGGCTCCACAGGCCTGCCACCCAGCACGGCTGACCAGCACTTCCAGGGTCGTCCTTCCTCTCTTGCTTTACAAACTTGTGACTGTCCTGAGCCTCCTGAGAAACTTGTAGGGAAGGTCACACACACAGGAAAGCACTGGGAGGGACACTGGGTGTAGTCCCGTCGGAAGTGGGCTGGCTGCTTCTGTTCAGGCCCTCAGGACCCTGTCCCTGCCGCTGTCTCCCCTTTGTTCATTCCACATGCTCTCGCTTCTGTCCCTGGAGCATGCCGTGTCCCACCTGCATCAGGGTCTTTCCAGGGAACTGTCCCTTTTTTCTGGGCTTCTCTTTCTCCAGCTGCTGACACAGCTAGTTTTGGGGTTTTTTTTTTTTTTTCTCAGTCATTGGTCTACCTACAAATTCAATTGATCCCTTACCAATTACCAGGCACAGGGCCAGGTGCTGGGAACTCAGTGGTGATCAAGGGGGACCCGTGATGAAGAGCAGAGAGAGGCCCAGTTGAACCCTGGCTGAGGACGAACCTTCTTAAGTGCCAGGGAGAGTGGCATGGCACTACTGGTGCTTGGAACAGGGGACCTGACAGTCTAGGAGAGGAGACACTGTCCCAAGGAATTGAAGAAGCAGCCAAAAGCAGGTGCAATGCATCTTTGGTCCCAGCTACTGGGGAGGATGAGGCAGGAGGCAAGAAGGATTGCTTGAGCCCAGGAGTTTGAGATCATCTGAGAAACACAGGGACACCTCAACTCAAAAAAAATAAAAATGGTGCAGCTGAGGTTGGAAGGAGGAGGAAGAGTGGATGGGCTGAGAAGGAAGGAATACCTGGTACAAAGGTCCCGTGGCTAGTCTAGTAGATTTTGCCTTCTCATATATACCCATTTTCTCCCTCTCCAGCAAAACACCACTGACCCCCATTGGCTAAGTTGGATGGATGCCTTCAGGCTTCGCCAGTCCCTGGGAGAGCATTTGGCTGCCTCCTCCCGCTGGCTTCCGTGATACAGCACCCAGCCGGCTCCCTCTTCCTCTGATAGATCCATTCTGTCCCTTGGGTAGGATTGCTCTCTCCTCAGCTACGCAGCGCAGGGTTCCTCGTGGCCAGCCTGGGCCTCTTGCTTCCTCTCTGGCAGTCAGATCATTTGCTCCATGCTGTGGCTTCAATTAGTGTTTAAACTCAGTGGACCTATAACTTACCACCTGGACCTCTGAACCCTCCCTGGTCACTTAGCGTTTCCACTCAGGGGTCACAAAGCCTTCTACTCAGTAGGTGTCCAAAACCAAACCTATAAGTGATCTTTCCCTCTCAGAATCCCTGTGCCAGGGATCAACCCACTGTCCACTTTCACTGTATCCAGTCAGAAATGGAGTTCTGGAGATTTTACCCTCCAGATGCCTCTCAAGTCCACCTGCTCTCTCCCTCACCCAACACCAGCTCCCGAGTCCAAGTCACCGTCAATTATTACAGCTTCTAAACGGGTACCTATACCTGCTCTTGCCCTTCCATTGTCCTTGGTGCTGCCAGACTGATCTTTGAGAAATGTACATCGGATCATGTCACATCACCACATCACATCTACTTCCCGCCTTAGAATCCTTCCAGGGATTCTTGGGCTTCTTAGGAGAAAGGAGGAGTACCTTTGATGAGGCCCACCAGTCCCTGCCCATTCCCACACCGCTCTTTCCTTGCTGCCTCATCAATGTCTTCAGTGGCATTGATGGGGCACTGATTTCCCTGCTTGGACTTGAGAAATGCACTTATAGCCATCTCTGGGTGAGAGTAATCCTGAAGATGGCTCTGCTCCATTTTATGTTGATCCTTTTAGCTTAGCTAAAGAGCTGATCTAGTCTATTAATCCTTGGAATATTTCTCCCTTGGAGCAAGGGATCCTGTATGTATGTATCACCAGGAGCCTGGTTCTAATTAAAGGCTATAGTTCTATAGTTTATGCATAGAACTATCTTTAAAATTCAGATTTGCCTGCTTCCCTCTTGGTTATGAGATTGGGTCCAGAATGTTCCCAGGGAAGTCACTCCTAGGAACCAACACTCTCTGGATGTCGTCAGCTTTCTTTGTTTTCCCATTATAGCCATGGAAATAAAGAAGCCTTCTCTTGCCGGGGAATCCAGCTGGCTGTGGACTGGTTCAGGGAGAGAGGTCACACCTACATCAAGGTTTTTGTCCCATCCTGGAGGAAAGAGCCATCACGATCTGACACCCCTATCAGAGGTATGCTGCGGCAGGTACACGCCCCAGGCACTGTGCGCTCTTCCTTGGTGGCTCCCACAGTGGTGGCTCTGTTAAGTTATTGGTCTAGCAATGTCTGTCTGCCTCCCTACACTAAAAACCCCATGCAGCTGTTCAGCACCTAGCCCTAGCACCCAGCACCCTTCATGTAGGGTCGGTGCTTAATCAATAGCTATTGCATAGATGAATGATAGGACTCGCTTACTGAGAAGGATTAAGTTCCCAAAGTTACGACTTTTAGCACTCTGAAGAAAGACCAGCTCTGTATTCCATCCTTAGTAGTTTGTAGAATCTGAATGTTTATTATTTACTGAATACCTAGTCTAGTCTCTTCATAAAAAAAAAAAAAACGGAAATTGAGATCCAGGAAATTCTTTTAGTTTTAATTTTCAAATGAGCTAGGGCTATTTTAAGCTACAAATAATAGAACACTGTGGTTTCAACAAGCAGGGTTTTGTTTGTTATTCAGCTCTCCTAACAAGAAGAGACTGAGGTGCTGTCAGCATGGATTCATAGTTGACACCGGAGGGCTGGCCCTTGCTCAAACTGGGAGGGTTCCTTGACTGTTTCTTCTCATCTTTCACCAGAGGTTTTTGTCTTTGGTTTGTTTTTAATCTGTTAATGGTTACCAGTTGCTGCTACTTCTCTATTAATCTCTCTTTGTTTTGTAAACAAAATGTTGTTCTTGTTCTGTGGATGCAGTATGTTCTTGAATATTTCTGATTTTTTTTTTTGGCCCCAGGGATTGAATTCAGGGGCACTCGGCCACTGAGCCACATCCCCAGCCCTATTTTGTATTTTATTTAGAGACAGGGTCTCACCAAGTTGCTTAGCACCTCGCTTTTGCTGAGGCTGGCTTTGAACTCATGATCCTCCTGCCTCAGTCTCCTGAGCTGCTGGGATTATAGGCATGTGCCACTGCTCCCGGCTCTTCTTGAATATTTCTATAAACTTATATAGACTTTTTAAGAAAGTTTTCATAATTTTCACAAATGTTATCTAAATTTTTCTGGGGTCACTTATATTTGTTCATCCCAGCCCCACCCCTCTCGGTTTTTCTCTCAAAATTCTGGTGATCTGTGTATATACATTTTAATTGTGAATAGAGAGCTAGATTGGTTAAATATATACCTGTGCAAGTGCTATGAGTTTTCTCCCCCTCCCCCCCTTTTTTTTAAAAGTTCTTTTTTTTAATATTTATTTTTTAGTTTTCGGCGGACACAACATCTTTGTTTGTATGTGGTGCTGAGGATCGAACCCGGGCCGCACGCATGCCAGGCGAGCGCGCTACCACTTGAGCCACATCCCCAGCCCTCCCCTCCCCCTTTTTGTATCAGAGATTGAACCCAGAGGTGCCTTCCCACGAAGCCCATTTTAATATTTAACTTTGAGGCAGGGTCTTGCTGAGTTGCTTGGGACCTTGCTAAGTTGCTGAGGCTGGCTTTGAACTTGTGATCCTTCTGCCTCAGCCTATCGAGCCTCTGGGATAAGTTTTCTCCTGGAATGGGATTGTTCAGGGCTGACTCTTGGTGCTGACTGGCAGGTCTCACTTCTGCATACCCTGTATGGAGCAGGCAGGCAGTAAGGCACTTCTGCCTGTCACATATTCCAATGACAAAATGATGAGGGTTTTATTCTAGCAGATTGAAACAATGAGACGCTTACTCCTTCCTAGCTGTGCCTTCATTTTTTTTTTTTTTATGGCAATAGGGCTAGGAAGTGAGTACAGGTTCATGAGCAACTGCTTTCAAGCAGCCCTTCCACTAGCCATCCTGCCTCAGCCCGCCTACCACCCAGGCCACGCCTAGAGTGTTTTGCAGCTTCACAGGGGAAATGACTCCCATGTCTGCTTCAATCTTCTCCACACTCTGGGCTGTGGTCCCTCCATGCTGTAGGGTTACTATGTCCCTCCCTGCTTTCTATCTTCCTAAAATTTGTCCAAACCCTGGCTTTACTGCTGTCTTCAAGCCCATTTTAAATGTGATTATGGATCTCCCACCTTTTAAACTGTCATTTCAATGGGATTTATGAGAGAGGGATACATACTTGCATTCTGTTCTCCATCAGGAATTGGTTACCCAAAGAATTCTTTATGCTCTAAACAAGGATACTGGTAGATTTAAGCCATTCAGTTATGTGATATTGAAATATAGTATAGGTAAAGAACGGGGAAAATTATTTTGGAGTAGAGAAGGAATTTTTAACAAACTACAACAGGAGCAGTTCTATTGGAGAAAGATAAATAAATCTGACTACATAATAAAAACTTCTGTTCATTAAGAGCTACCATAAAAAAAGAAAAAGAAGGAAACAAAAGAAGGAAGGAAAGAAAAAAGGGTCAACTTCAAACTGGGGCATCTGTGAAGAACTTCTCCAAATTAATGAGACAAGATCAATGAACCAATAAAACGATGAGCATGAATAAGGCTTCTGCAGAAGAGAAAACATAAATGGCCAATAAAAACAGGAAAGGTGCTCAATCTCATTAGTATCTAGAGAAACACAAAATAAAACCACTATAAGAGACTGTTTTGTACTCACCAAGTTGGGAAAATTCTTAGAGACATGTTCTGGAGAGTTCCTTGGACTTCTGTGCCAGGGACTTACATAAAAACTAATAGCAGTGAACATATTGGCCATGTGACCAAACCTCAAAAACACAATGCGCAATGAAAACAGCAGCAGGGCAAGTGCCTGTGTAGGATGGTGCCACTTGTGTAGGGTCTGATTTGTCACCACAATGAAAATTGTCCTTGTACATATGTATTTCTAAAAGTAAAAGTAAAGGAATGATAAACACTCAGTTGCAGAACGTGGGCCATCTTGAGGGGAATGGAGCGGACTGTCAACTGGGAGGGGCACTAGGGACTTCCTGAGCATGACTCCACCTTCTGCTTCTCAAAGTCCACAACATTATTATTATTATTGTACTTTGTTCCACAAATGCATTCTGTATCTTTTTTCAAGTCTGGAAATCATGTCAGATTGGAAAGTACTTAGACTAGAGGGAAGAAAAATATATAAAGAATATGCTAATACTCTTCTAAGTGTCAAATAACTATTATGTGTGGCAGGGATTTTCCTTGCATGTCTCCAAAGGCAAATCTAAGACCAAACATTAGACTTTCCTGGGACGCCAACTTCAATCCCATAGGAAAGACCTGGAGATACTTATACCAGTGACACACGTCCATTTCCTTCCTAGTTTTTGCAAAAACTCTCCCACACCTGAGCTTAATTCAGGCTACTCACAAGCATTGTGAGAAAGGTAAAGGAGACATTATTGTGTTCATTTTATGAAGGTAACATCTGACATTAGGGAGGGATAAAGACTGGAGCTCAGCCCAGCATCCTGTGCATTCTTAGTTCCAGACTCTTCCATTACATTCTCGAGTCACTCAGAGATGTTGGTTGTGGGATATTCAATGTTGGCCAAGCAGATTCTTGAGTGGTAGGGAAGGTGGATCCGTGGTTACACTGAAGGGCTCTCACAGGAAACTTGCGGGTGGAAGTCAGGCTGCTAATCATTGTTAAAGCTTCACTGGGTTCCACTTCAAACAGGAGCATCCCTCTCCAGAAGGCCTCTGTCTGCTATAGTTGGGCCAATGTGGCTTGTAACTCTGAAAACAGCAGGGCTGAGGCTAAAATTTTCCTTCGGAAGGGGCTCTCCCTTGTTGGGTACCATTTTCTGGACTCCATCATGGGCAGGACCCAAGCCAAGAGCCTCCTTGACCTTGGGCCACTGGTAAACTCAGTGAAATTTAATGAAAGAAATGAACATTAGGTAATGGGGGGGGGTGGCAACTGGTGTTTTTTCCCCTTCCCTGAAAAACCTCCCTGCCCCCATCTAACCAGCTGGGGTTGGGGGAAGGCAGGAAGGCTCAAGGAGGTCCCTGGTCTGTGGGGCGAGTGTCCTTTCCCAAAGACCTCATGTGCTTCTCCGTGTGTGGCCCCAGAGCAGCACGTCCTGGAGGAACTGGAGCGACAGGCAGTGCTGGTTTACACCCCGTCCCGCAAGGTGAACGGCAAGCGGGTGGTCTGCTATGACGACCGCTACATAGTAAAGGTGGCCTACGAGAAGGATGGCATCATCGTCTCCAATGACAACTACCGTGACCTGCAGAATGAGAACCCAGAGTGGAAGTGGTTTATTGAGCAGAGGCTACTCATGTTCTCCTTTGTCAATGATAGGTATGGGGCCTAGGGGTCTGGGGGACTGGGGAGAAGGCAGAAAGCCACTCCCAGGTCCTGGCAAAGCGGGCTCCTGGTGGTGGGCACATCCAGACCTGCAGACACAGTCAACCTGAGCTCACCCACTCGGCCATCCCAGGCTGCCCTGTCACTTGTCTCTCTGGGTGTCTTCTCTCTTAGGCCCTTTTCTCCACAGGCAGTTTGTCCTTGACCTTGAAGTTCCCAGAGTCACGTCTACTTGAGTCACTGCAAAGCTTCGGATGCTTAGCCCACCACAAACTTTTTTGTTTTAGAACTTAATCTTTTAAATAAGAATTCTGGAATAGCCATCATGGGAAAATATTGAACTCTGTTGTATTTCCATTCACTTATTTCAAGTTTTTTTTTTTTAAGTTTTTAATTACATGTGGGAATGTGCAGTAGAACAGATCTTTTCTTTGGGCTGCAAAGATCTTAACTTGCCAGGAACAGACTGTTCCCACACCTCTTGGTTGAAACAGTCAGGAGAACCTACTGGTTTGCCTAGTCCCTAGGTTGGTCCTCTGAGTTAGGCAAGCCTGGGACCAACCTGCTACTGCTGGGGGAAGGGAAAGGACATCAGGATTGCAAGGCACAAACCGGAAAGCCCTTGGCCTAAGCAAAGGTGGGGAGGAATTGATGGCTCATCTTCTGCTGGGGCAGGCACCTTCGGGCCTGGACAGGGGGCCTGTCTGAGGACTGGACAGGTGCAGCACACAGCAGCCTGGGCTCCCACTGCAGTTAGTGTTCCAGGCACTGACGGCTCAGCTCTCATTCTGGGCTCTTTCAGAATGTGTAGGGCAGGGACTGTAACTGTCTACCTGCCAAGTCCCCTAACTGGTGGTACAGGAGTGAATGAGCGTGTGAGTGCATGGGTGAGCATGTGGCTCCAAGAAGGGGAGGAGGAGGGGAGAGGAGGGCCCTGTGGGCTGGGCTCAGGCCACCTGCCCCCAACACAGCAGCAGAGAGGCAGTGTGGTGTGGTGGAGGTTTCCAACTAAGCCCCTGCCCTGCAAGGTGGTGTGGCATGGGGCAATCAGTCACCTCGGGGACTCTTCACCTTGAGAAGGGATTAGTAATAGTACCTGTGAGATTATCATGAGCCTAGAGAGAATTGTGCCCCAGACATAAGAGCAGTTACTCCCAGGCCAGACCAGGATGTCCTCCACCGCCTGCTCCTGCAGCAGAGGAGGTGAAGCTGCTTTCCTGAGCCCTAGGGCAGGTGCTCGGCGGCAGCCACCCTGCAGTAACCTCATTGTTGCTTCCAGATGCACAAGGCCAGCGGCTCTCCCTGTCCAGTGTTGGCCTAGAGGAATCTGGCAAGTCTGGTCACTGTGGGTTCCAGAAATCCTCATTGAGGGCTGGTGGGTCATGGCTGCTGCTGGCCTGGTGACAGTCCGTGGCCCAGGCCAAGTCCTCCTGATGCACTGGCCTCTGCTCAGGGGCAGCCAGAAGGCAGGGCCTGCCTGCTTATGAGTGAGGTCACTCACCCTGGTGTCCTGGGCACGTCCACAGGGCCCTCTTGGCACAGTTCCGGCTCCTGAGGGAACAGGAGGCGAAGCCTTTGGGAACTTTTAATAACCGCAGTGGGCGGCTCCCCAGATTCTTGGTCAGGACCCAACTCTGAGCAGCCCGAGGTGTAGCTGGGAGCTGAGCCACAGAGGCTGTGCTGAGCCTGGAATCGCCCAGCTCTCTGCAGGGTGGGACCTCAGCATGACTCTTGGACTTTTTGTGGGGGGGCGGGCAGCAACTCATGAAAACAGCCCCTCCACCATTTAGAAATCCTTTGTATGGATTTGTGGAAGTGTCTGGAAGTGTCTGGCGGGAACAGGAGCACCCATTGAAAAAGATGTATCTCACTAAATGGGAGTCTTCCTTCTGAGGAATTTTGTTTTCCCCTTTGAGACCTAGGCACACTGAGGGTGCATTCCCTTTCTTGTCAGGGCTCCACGCCGGGGAGGAGGAGGGGCAGGCAGGGGGAAAACTGGTATCAGAAAACCTCGCGTGCAGAGTGTGGCAGCCTCAGGAGCTGAGACCAAGCTTGGAGCCCCTGGGGTATGCAGAGGTCAGGCCATTGGTGCCGAGGCACCGTGTGCAGCGGGCTCTGAATCTGCATCTTCGCCCATTCACTGCTGGTGTTTCAGACTCTGCAGTGCTGACCCTTGGCCTGCACATGCCCTGAGCTGAGACTGCTATGGTGTGAGGCCCATAGGACATAGGGGCCCAAGCTTCAAGTTGCTGGTACAAGTCCAAATCCTTCCATGAGCTGTTAACCCCATAGAGGTTCCTAATCTTGTATCAGGACAACGGGAAGCTGCGGTGAGCCTGGAGCAATTATACCTCAATTTTCCTGGATAAAAAATTGTTAAAATACAGAGTCCTTAACAGTTTCAGAGTCTGATGAAGGATGTGTGGAGGAAGCCAGAGGCTGCATTTTAAACAAGTTTCCAGGTGACTCTGATCCTGCTGGCTTGCACTACATTAGCAGGAGCTTCAGGGAGAGGTGCTGTGCTCTGCGTGGGCTCAGTAGAGAAAGGGTGTGCTTTTTAAGATGCTATGACAACCCTCTGTGGGGACGGATGGTCTATGTCATTTGGTGTTTTCTGGGTGGCTTCAACCCCCATATAGATGCCAGTGGCCAGTCCCACTGTGGTCTTGCAATTGCCCCTCTGTGCTTATTTTCTAGATTTATGCCTCCTGATGACCCCCTGGGCCGACGTGGACCCACTCTGAGCAACTTCCTGAGCAGGAAGCCGAGGCCTCCAGAGCCATCCTGGCAGCACTGCCCCTATGGTGTGTAGCCCCCTGGGCCTCATGGGCCCTTTTCAGGGACTGGTGTGGGGCAGCCCAGAAGTCCTGGCCTGACAGTCAGCAGTCTGGGTTCCAGCTCAAGTTAACCAGCTGTGTGACCCTGAAGAGATAGCTTAGCTCCTCTGGACTGCTACTTCCTGACAGGAACGTCTGAGGGCTGGACGTAGGACTCAGACACAGGCACGGCTGTATTGTGTGTGAGAAGCAGGGAGGTGGGGGTGCCAGCTTCAGTTCTCAGTCTCTTCACCTGGTCCACTCACACCTCATGTCTTCATCCTGCACCACGGTTCCCCCAGGCCCTTATACACCTTATCCATTAAGTCAAGGATTTTATCCAGAATGACCTTCTAGCAAGCTCTTTAACCTGCTTTGGCAAGTTATTCAATGACTCCAGGTCTTGGTTTTGTGCTTCCAGAAGTCTAATTAAAGACCTTGGATGGCACTCAAAAGCCTTTTTTTTTTTTTTTGGCTAGAATGAAGGTAACCATACTTCAGGCTAGACCATTAAGCTCTAAAATGCCTGGGCTTGGATGATCAATTATTTGTCATTTGACTACCTCTATTAGAACAGTGTGTAGGGAGAGGACAGTGGTCAGTATCAGGGATGCAGACAGTGGTGGAAACTGTGGCAGCACTGGAAGAGCAGTCCTGTACCATGGGGCACCTGCTCCCCACACATCTTCAAGGTTGGTCCTATGCACAGGGTCCCCTAGGAAGTACAGGCTGAAGGTCATCAAATCCAGGAATTTGGTGTCAGACCCTGGTCAGAGGGAGTTCCTGCACGGATGCTCACTCTGCAGACCTTGGGAGTTATTGTGCCCCATTTGCCATGAGACATTTTGCCCATGCTCCAGAACCCTTCCCCCTTTAGTCACCAGTCCAGATCTTCAGGCCCTTCTGGGGAGCTAAGAAGGCAGAGTTTGAGGTGGTCTGGGGGCCATCTGTGAGGAATCTCCATGGAGAGAGACCAGAGGCTGTGCGCACAGCTTCTCCAAGCCCGCTCTCAACCCGCGTCCTCTCTGCCCTGCCCCTCCAGGCAAGAAATGCACCTACGGCATCAAGTGCAAGTTCTACCACCCTGAGAGGCCGCACCACGCGCAGCTGGCTGTGGCTGATGAGCTCCGGGCCAAGACGCGGGCCTGGCCCGGCGGGGGCGCCGAGGAGCCGCGGCCGCCGAGCGCCCGGGGCGGCCCCGCAGCAGCCCGGCCGCTCCCCCGGGAACCCGGCGCGCACTGCCTCCCGCGGGCGCCGGGGGCCGCGGACCTGGCCGCCCTGCGCGCGAGCTTTTCGAGGCTGCCGTTCAGCGACGACCCCGCCGGCGGCTTCGCGCTCGAGCCTCGCGGTTCTGACTGGGCGCCCGGGCCCTCCTCCTCGCCGGCGGGCATCTCTGCCACCCCGGGGCCTCCCGGCCCTGGGGCGCTGGCGCCGGGCCTGCGCAGCCTCCCAGGACCGCAGAGCCCCTTCGTCCCCGGCGACCTCCCGTCGCCGCAAGTTCAGCCGCGGGGCGCACTTGGGCCCAGGGACCTGCGCGGTGACCTGCTTCCCCAGCGCAGACCTCCCGACGACCCGTGGGTCGGTCTGTCCGGATCCGAGCACTTTCTGGGTGGCTCGGTCTGGGCGGAGCCGTCCTGGGGCGACGGCGCCTTTGGGGGAACTCTGGGGTCTGCTCACAGGGCCGTGGACAGAGAGGTGGACGCTCGCGCCCATGAGCGCACTGCGCTCTGTAGCGTCTTCCCTCCGGACCAGGTGGACAGCGTGATGGCGTCCTTCCCCGCCCTCTTCGACCTGGCCAGGATCATCCTTCTCATGCAGCGATCCCAAAGGGCTGACGCGCGATTGGGAAACCCCTAAGGGACCCATCCACGGCGCGGAATGGCCTTGCCGCTTGGGCTGGTGAACAAACAGCTGCCAGCCTGGGCCTGAGCAGCCCCCTCCCCTGCCATCGGGTAAAATGGTCAGGGGAGCGTGCTTCCCGCTGCTCACTTGAGGATTGTCACTGAGGTCTGGGCCTGCAGTGTGGAGGGAGTGGTTTCTGATGTGCTTGGAAGACTGCAGGTTTTACTGCAGCTCCAGTGCTTTGTCCAAGACAAAGCGTTTGTTTTTCGTTTGTTTGTTTTGGATACTGGGGATTGAAACCAGCCACTGAGCTATACCCCCAACCCTTTTTAAAATGTGGAGACTTGAGTCTCGTTAAACCACCTAGGATAGAACTTGTGATCCCCTGGCTCAGCCTCTGGGGTTGCAGAGATTACAGGGCTGCGTCACCACACCAAGCTCTAAACAAAGCTGTGTTTGTGTCTCAGTAGAAAGGGTGTCCACAAGTGGGTCACCACCACACACAGACAGCAGAATAGGAACTATCATAGACAATCCATGTACTCAGACTGCGTATCAACTCTCTTTAATGTGTAAACTTAGTTTGGGTCATGGTCAAAAGTTTGATAGAGACTCGTAAAGAATCTTGCATTTCACTGCCTCAAGAAATGTTTGAAAGATGTAGTCAGGTGGCCTGGGGAGGTTCTGCTATCTGGAAGTTGGCTATTGCTAACCTCCCTCACAAGGGGAACCTAGCCTTGTGTGGCTGGGCTGGGCTAAGGTGTATGTGATCCTGAGGGTCTGCTCATGAGGACTTCACCCGCTTTCCACACACATATCACACCAAGCATCACACTCAAATATAACACATCTCACACACACACACACACACACACATACACACACACATTGCTTCACTCAGGGTTTTGCCTCTGTTTTTTTTTTTTTTTCAGTCATCCATCATGGTAGTTTCCAGAACAAGCCCTTCTAAGCCACACTTAAAATAAACAGGTGTCCAAGAATCAGGCTTTTTTTTTTTTTTCCTCAAAAGCCTCCAGGTGAGTCAGTGGAGAGCTGGGCTCTCCTGGAGGTTTATACCACTTCCCACTTGTGTTGCTTCTTCAGGTTGCTACTGCTCTGGGGCTTAGGGGAAAGAGGCCCACCTGTTAGCTAGAGACAAGAAATGAGACAGTGCCACTAGACCTGGACGCCTGCATCCTCAGGGGCCCTGGCATTGCCGGGTGGCACCCACCCATTCTGTACAGTGGCAGCTCTCCAGGTTGTGCATTTGCAGACTTGGTAACTCAGCCATCCAGAGAGCAGGTGAGGCACCCGCCGGTGGAGATCCAGTCCCCAACACCTGCAAGTTCCTGCTATCTGGCACACACACTGGGAAACTCTTTCTGGTGGATTTCTAGGTTATTATAAGCCCTCTCATTTATGGTAAACGCTGCTCTGTGGAGATATAAGCAATGTTATGCCTTCCTGTGATTTCTTCCTCTTTTTAAGTCAGATTCTCAGGGATCCTGAGGCTGGAGGAATGCATGTTTGAAGCATCTGCGATGACTTAGCTAGACTCTGTCTCAAATTTTAAAAATGGGCTAGGGATGCAGTTCAATGGCAGGGTACATGCCTAGCAGGCATAAGGTCTCTGGTTCAATCCCCAGTGCTGAAACAACCAAATAAACAAGGAAAAATAAACAAGCAAACAAAAATCAGATTCTCAGTATGGTTTCAGCCAGATCTGTCCCCTACCTCTTTTTCCCAGTGGACGCTGCACCTGCAGTGTTGCTTTATCATCCTGTATCATTCAAATTTTCCTCACAATGGACAAGATAAGCTCAGTGTTAGAGCTGCTTTGTGTTTCCCTGGCTTTTGATGGGGAATCACTGCATTGCTAATTTACAGTTGGGAATGTTTAAGTTGCTTCCTATGAGGATATGTTTGAGTTTTAGTAAGCTGTAAAGCTATTTTCCTTGGTTTGCTGTGATTAAGACAAATAAAAAAAAAAAGTGAAGAAACAGCACATTTCAAGTGTAATCCCCTTTGGAAAATTTCCAAAGTCTTAGTATGTCTTTGTGACACAAAAACACGGATGGGGCCGGTAAATGGAATGTTCCTAGTTGCATAGCTGTTACTGTGTTCCAGAAATAAATCACTTTTACCACACCTGGACTCCGTTGTCAAATTGTGTATCAGTTTCTCCCTCCGCTTCCCTCCTCCACTGGTTTTTCATAGTCCGTCCCCCCGGGTGTGAAGCCTGGGGCCATGGCTGGTTTCACAGCTGCTGTTCAGTGTTATTCCTCCCTTGGGAGTGGATGTGAGAGGCTAGAATCCACTTTTTTCCCTCCTTCGGAGAAGGAGCCAGGCACACACCTTTGCTGGCTGTTCAGCAGGCTATCCCCAAGGACCCAGACTCTCACCTGATTGCTAGACTTTCAAATCCTCATTGCAGACCTACAAAGCAGTCCTTCTTGTGGAAACCTGCAGCAGAGGTCTTGCCTGCCCTCTCAGAGGAGCTCAGGCTGTCCTGTGTTTGCCCAGCTCAGCCTTCCCAGAGGACTCTGTCTGGAAGGTTCGAAGCCAAATTGCAGAATGTTGGTGGTTCAAGGGTAGAAGCAAGAAAAGCCTCATTTCGGCATTGTTCCAAATAAAATGAATTCCAGCCTGGATTTTTTATTTTCTCTCAGATGGAGAGCAATGAGCCAGCTACCAGCTGGGGTGGGTCCAGTTTGAAGGAGGCCACTGTTTGAAGGAGGCCACAGATGTGCTACATTCTGGGAAGAAAGAACTTATGGAGGGGTGGGGAGTGAGGGAAGCCAATGTCATTAAGGAATATGGAAGACACAAGACAGGGCCAATGGAGACAGAGATTGTGGGAGCTGGAGCAATTCGCGTACATAACAAATCCCACCGGGAGGGACTGCATGGAGCCAGGACCAGCTACATAGTTTGTGGGGCTCTGTGCAACATTAAAATGTAGGCCCCCTTGTTCAAAATGGTTAAGAATTTCGAGATGATGGCAGCAGAACAGCATGAGGTACTTCTAAGGGCAAGACCCTGTGTGATCACTGCACAGGTCATATGCCTAATAAGCCAGCCGACCTGGAGTCACCAACAAGGTAAGCAAAAGGACAGCCTCAATTCCTACAGTGTGTTCATAACAAACACTGAGTGAAGGAGGTCAGAGCCCAGGATGCACACACCTACCAGCTAGGAAAGGCCATGAGCTTTGGGGGCAGGAGCTTTGGGGCCAGGCCTCTACTTGAGGGTCTGCCCACTCTATCTACCTGAGGACTGAGGGGCTCCCTGGCAGAAGTTGTGGGGCTTGGGAAGATCCCAAACTGGTTCATCTACTTCCGAATGGGTCAGATGCCTAAAACTGGCAGCAGTTATACTGTTTGTATTAGGCAAGGTTCTTTGGCTACAACTGTGGTTCACAAAACCAAATGGCAGGGGGCCAGGGATGGAGGCAGCTGTGGGGTTGACTGGAATTAGCTGCTGGAAACCCTGTCAGTCTCCTCTTGTCTGTTTCCTTCTGCACCTGTTTCCTTCTGTTTATTGTCTCCTTCTAAGCTTTCCCTACACCATGAGGGCCATTCTGCTGGCCAGCACATATCCTTCCAGCTAAAGGACTTAGGAGGTGGCTTCTGAGAAATTCTGGGAAAGGGTTCCGAGTGGCTGGGCTTGGGTCACGTGACCATCCCTGGCCCAATCACTGTGGGATAAGGAAGTACTCAGATTAATCCAGACTGGGTCTCACTCCCACCTCTGGCTAGAATGAGGGCCTGTGTTATGGTTGTGAGCTCCTGCACAAGCCCACAGGGAAGACTGGGGTGCAAGTAGGGAATGAGCAGTTCTCTTAAAGAAAGGGGGGTATTGTTCAGGCAGACAAAACACACACCCACAATAAAGTTTAATGCTGGGTACTGGGCCAAGGGCCCATCCTTCCCCCCACTCAGCTCTGGTCCTATTTGAAAAAGAAGAGCTGGATTAGGAAGAGCCTCCCCTGGAGTCCGCCCATCCACAGACAGCACAGCCTTCCATGGGAGGAAGGCAGAAGGGCCAGCCTGCTGCTGTGGGGCCTGAGGTATCACCTGGTAACTGTGCAGTCCTAGAGCTGGGCTCAGATGAGCACCACCAGCCCTTCGACTCCCCTCTGAACAGGGCTCAGAAAGCTCCCAGAATCCTGGCAGCTCACCTGGCTGCCGGAGGCCCAGCTGGAAACTAGGGGCCTGACCCAGCTCAGGAATTAATTTGTCCCGAGTTCTATCTTCAGGAAGAGGGACACACCGATCTTAATTCCCAGAAATAGGAAAGGTGCTGGGTAAACAAATAAAAAGGGAAATGGGCCTCATGGTCAGAGGTCAAGTGAGTGTCATGCTTATACTGGCTGACAGACACTGACCGACGGACACTGACACCCACATGGATGGACTAACTGACACAGATTCAGTGACATTGACCCGATGACTCACAAGTGGCTAGATGACACTGAAATTGACTGACAGATACTGACTGATATGGACTGGCATTGACTGACTGGGTGACACTGATTGATGCTAACTGATAAGAATGAAGTGCGGTCAGCACCTGCAGCTGTTGGGCGTGATGGTTCAAACAGGATTGGCAAACTATGACAGGCCTGACTTCATCTGCAAACTGACTCTTGAATGCAGAGTGCTCATGATCACAACTGGCCACAGTAAGCTCCCGCAGGGGGCTCCTCAGGTGCCATTCCTGAAGGAGGCAGTTAGGGAGGCATTTTCCCTTGAAGCAAAGCCCAGGAATCACAGGAGAGGGATGAGGTTCCTCTTGCAGCAGGGACTTGGCCCTGTCTGCCTCCTTCCTCTCTCTCAGGCTGTCTCCGGCTTTCATTTCCTCAAGTCTCCTGCTTTGTGCCAAATCATCTCCCTGCCTATCCTCTGGGTTCCATGTTCTCCTCCATCATAACCCCCTTTGCCCCTCTCCTCAGTCCCAACCACCTGGCCCACAAACCTCCCCATCTTTTCGAGGCCTCTCTGCCCTTCCTCCAGGAAGTCTGCACCAGCCATCCCAGCACTGGGAGGCCCGCCCCTCAGACTGCTTCAGAGCTAGCCTTTCTGGGATCAAACTCTGCCATGCTGCTCTGGGGCACCCTTACAATGGCTCTGCTTTGAGTGGTTATTTGTTACTCACTGTTGGACTCTTCCATCACTTGGGGTGGACCTCCCCAACTAGGCCACCTGTAATTTAAGGTGTGGGATTGTCTTAAACTTGTCTCTTCAACAGCCCTGTCAGTTAGGACAAGGGAGGATACTTTACAGAAACAACACAGTCCTGAATCCCAATGGTTCCCATGCAATATGCTCTTCACAAGGTGGCTGGGGCAGTGCATATGGAGTTCCAGGTCAAGGGAGGGTATGTTTCCAGCTCCCTGGTGCGAAGGGAACGTTCTGAAATGTGCACTATTCCTTCAAGTTTCTGCCCAGTATCATTGCTGCTTCCATGTCATTGACCCAAACATTTCACAGGGCAGCACCTTATTTCCTGGGAGCAGGAAAGCACCGCAGGGCTGAATGTCTGCATGGTGTAGACGCACATGGAGAGCCCTTCTCATGACAATGTATGTGTGGTGGCCTAGAGAGAGATGTGTTTTGATTGGCAACCCCAAAGGAAGGAAGCAGTTAAATGAAACATGGTACCTTTCTTGGCTGCAATGGCTGTTGCAGAGAAGACCTAGCACCTGATGGCCCCCTTGGCCACAAATGCTCTAATCCATTAAAATGACATTTTATAAGGACCTTCATGACATAGAAAGTATTGAGTGTATATTATGGAGCAGAAAAGTAGGTTATAAAAAAAAAGAGAATACCATATGCTCTCTTTGTTATTATAAATACATATTATATTTATAGAAAAGAACCAAAGTAAACTCCCGAGAGGCTGTCAGAATATAGCTGGATGGTGGAATTATGATGTCAGGTGATTTTCCCTCCCTTTTGGTTTTTCTCTATTTTTCTAGATCTTCTACAGTTGATAATTTTGGTGACATGCAAAAAAAATCCAATATAAAAACATATTGGATATGCAGAAAATTCAGGCATTTTGAATTGTCATCTGATAACACCAAAACATGGGTTCTTCCAGACTTCTTTCCTTTTATGCAAGCATGCAGGTTTAACTGAGAGAAACTCCTCATGGGCCAACTCCCTGGCTGCCCCTGGGTAATGTGAGTCCTGAACCTGCGTGTTCCACATGAGCATCAAGTCTCATTCTGTTGCTGCGAAACCTGTGCAGGCCCTGGCTCCTGGGAGGGGTGACGGATCCCAGGAGGCCACTCACTCCCAGGAGCAGCCAAGTGGAGGTCAAGTGGAGGCCAAGTGGCTCTTTCAGGGAAGACCCATCACCCTGTGGACCCCCAGGCCATGAACACTGTCCTGAGCAAGCACGCTGGCCTAGGGCCTGAAGCCTTCGTGTCTTGGGATAGGAGGAGGACGATGGCATTTCCCACTTCCCTGTTTGTGCTCTTTGAGTTGATTCAGTTCCAGGGAATTCTTTTGGCCAAGTCATTTTCAGAATAACTCTTCATGATCTGTTTGGTGCAAATGCAGTTGATTTATGGCTTTGCTGACCTTCGAGATGTTGGCCAAGCTCAGCTCGAGGCCCTGGGGAGGTTTTCCTTTGCCCAGAGTGATTTAGGAGCTGCCCTGCAGAGAGGGTTCCCTATTTCTTCCGCCCCAAGACCTGACCTCATGGCTCCTGCCATCAGGTTCACACCCTGGGCGGGACACAGTCTCATATTTATACAAAGTGACAGTTATCCTTTGGATGCCCTGGATCACATCCCTCCTATTCTTGTAACCTTCTAAGAATCCCCAGGGAGAGTTCCCAGAGCTGCTTGTCTCTGCCCTGCCACCCTCCGTCTGGCTTCTTCTCACCTTCTTTTAGGTGCCTGCCTCTCCAGCGCTGAGGGGCTGAGGCAGAATGGAATGAATTGTTAATGTTTATTCTGATGGATTAACCTCACTAGAGATCCTGAGTACAACCAGTGCTGGTTTGTGAAGCCGGAGGGTTCATGGGGGTTGGGAAGACTGAGTCTGGTATAACTCCAGGCCTCCTTCTTTGGGCCTGTGGCTGAGAGTGTCCCATAGTGAGTGACTTGGCGCATTCATGTCGTGGTGGAGTGGGAAGGA